GGGAATTGAACTCAGGACTTTTGAAAGAGCAGGCAATGCTCTTAACCTCTGAGCCATCTCTCCAGCCCCCAGGATGCCTTTTTTTTTAGACATAAAACTATCCAGTAGAGTGCCCATGCTCTGGCTCCAAGGCAATGGGGGGTATGTTATTAGTACATAGTGCTCTGTTGTTCCACCCTGTTCCCTGCCTGTCCCCTTCATTAACCGCTTCCTGGTTGCTGTCCTGTCTCCCTCCTGGGAAGGTTCCATGCCTCCTACCCATCATTTCTGCTTCCTTCTGCATCTTGAAGGTGGATGATGGTGTTTCACTTCACCCTTCTGGGGCAGGTGAGGTCTGGGAGAGGCTGGCCAGAGGAGGCTGAGAGCCTCATCCTGGCTGCTCTCAGGCTGACTGGGAGGGTGCCCCTGAAGCCACTCTGGGCCACAACCAGGTTCCTACTCTGGATGGCCATATTCGTCTTCTGGGGCGGTGACCAAGGATCACACACGGAAGCTTCAAATGTTGGCTTATTTTTTCCCATAGTTTGGAGGTCAAAGGTCCAAACCAAAGTGTGGGCCATGCTCTCTCTAGGGACTCAAGGATCTGGCACAGCCCCCGCCCGCTAGGTCCTGAGACACTGCTGTTTTCAGCTCCCTTCTCAATTCTGTCTTCAGGCAGCTGCCTTCCTGATCTCTCCTCTCCCCCTCCCTCCCCTCCTGTCCTCTCTCCCTCCCTCTCCCTCCTTCCCTCCCTCTCCTCCCCTCCCCTCTTCTCTTCACTCCCTCCCTCCACACTCCTCTCTCTCACACACACTTGGAAATAGAACCAAGGGCCCCACGTCTAGTGGTGAACACTCACCACTAAACTACACAGCAGCCCCCTTTAATTTTGAGACAGTCTTTCTGAGTTGCTCTAGTTTGCTTTGGACTCTCCGTCCTCCTGCCCCACCCCCTGGGCAGCTGGGAGTATAGGCATTCCCCAATGTCCATATCTCTCTCTTATAAATTCTTTTTTGTCTGTTTGTTTTTTGAGACAGGGTGTCTCTGTGTAGTTATACTCACTCTGTAAACCAGGCTGGCCTTGAACTCACAGAGATCTACCTGCCTCTGCCTCCCAGATGTGGGGATTAAAGGCGTGCGCCACCACTGCCACCTGGCTGCCCTATTTTATAAATTCTTACACTTGAAGCTGGGCTTGGTGGTGCGTGCTCTTAATCCCAGCACTCAAGAGGCAGAGGCAGGAGGACTGCTGCAAGTTTGAAGCCATTCAGACTGTATAATGAAAGCCTGTCTCAACTCTCACCAACACATAACAAGTGAACAGACATGTGAGCACAAAGGCTACCCTAATCCTGGGTGGCTATAGCATATGATCTTTAATTAAATCTGCAAAGACCCTACTTTCAGAGGTCACGTTCTGAAGTCCTTTGTTGGGATGAATTTGGGGACACTATTCAACTCTCTACAGTGGCGTTGTCTCTGTAGTAGACAGACATTAGAGAGAGATGCCTAGATGACCAGAGCGGATAGCAAGCTGGTGAGCAAGCCTCCGTGAGGGACCGGGTGACCACGCTATGACCGGGACCCGTCCTCACCCAGACCTCTGACTTGAGCTGTCCACCTTGCCAGGGCACAAAAGTGAACTGTACAGAGACAGGGGTGGCACCAGCCTGCAGCTGTGCAGCCACTGTGTGGGGTGGGGCCATGACAGGGATACAGCTGTTTTGCGTTTTTTCTTGACCTTAGCCGGGAGTGGGAGCTGGGTGGGGGGGAGCTGTGGGGGGGAGCTGCAGCCACTTGATGGGGCCCCAGGCTTCCCCTCCCCCAGCCGGACAGCTGGCTCCTTAAAGATGAATCCCCATCATTGAGATGCAAATGTTGCTCACCACAGAAGGCCCAGCTGCAGGGCTGGCACCAGTGCCCCTGGCAGCCCAGGTGCTGGTGGCAGAGCCAGGAGGAATTCACGACCTCCACTAAGGACAGCCACCTTGCTGAGCCTCTGGCCCTGTTGTGTTGGTGGCAGATTTCCTGGCTTTCATATGGGCTAGGTAGACACCCTGACCCCCTGCTCAAAGATGTGAGTTGGCACCAAGGACCCAGCATGGACTTGAGTAAACTTCAGCCCGGAATAGAGCCAGAGGGCTGCACCATTAGGGAAATGACCTGGGGAGGGTCAGGCAGATGGGATTCCAGTTCCAGGCTGATGGATGGTGGATACTGCTCCACAGCCACCTCGTCCCTGCCTCTAGTTTCCCAGGGAACCCAGAAAGGAACATTTCCAAAGAGCAGACAGGGAAGGGGTGGGGTGGGGGGAAGGTGAGGGAGGAAGGTACAGCCAGCAAGGGCAACAGTAGCCAGCAACATCAAGAAAACCACGTGGTTCTCAGACACCACAGATGTCACAGGACAGTTTTCCTCACAGTTCTTAATGTTCTTGTTGGAAGAAAAACATCCGCCCTGATGTCATTTATTTCATGATAAATGCAGATTTAATACTTAATGTCTGAAAACGCCTCCCTTTCTCTCTCTCTCTTTCTCTGCCTCCCAAGCACTGGGATTAAAGGTGAGACTATGACCATCACCATGACTAGTTGACCAGCGTTCTTACAGTGAACTGAAACTCACGAAAAACAGTGGGCAGAGTGGGCACTCTTTGCACAAAAGGAACTTCCAAGTAGCCATGGGGAAGCGGTGAAGTGTGATCGAGCCCCCAGCAACCTCCGTCTCTCCTCCTGTGCCTACTTGGGCTAAGCCTGAGGATTCTGGAGCAATGCCTCTTTCTCTTTTTGGGTGGCAGAGTCCTGAACCCAGGGTCCTGTACTGGCAGGTGAGTGCTTTAACCACTGACCTACAGCCTCAGACCTCTTAATTTTTTTTAAAATTTGGAACAAGGTCTTGCTAAAATTGTCCAGGTAGGCCTCCCTCTGCTTTAGCGTCCCAGGTAGCTCGGGTTACAGCACTGACTGACAGCTGTCCCTCCTGGTGGGTTCTCTTTGCCCTAGACCATCATAGCTAGGGTTCCCATGTTACCGTTTCATGGGACCCATGGGACTGTATTGTGGTCCCACAACAGTTTCAAAGGACCAGCCTGGGTTCACTGACATGAACCCTGAGAAGGCCCTGACACAAAGGTCAATGTCTCCGTGCCCTGGCTATCACCAGGACAGGGTGCCCTCTCCAGAGTATGTATCATCTTCCTGGGTTTCAGCATCTTTTTTTTTTCTTCTTGAAGTGGAGTACCCACACTCCTTTCGTTAGGAAGGAGCCTCAGCATTTCCATGTGTTTGTGGGAAGGGACTTGCAGTGTGCTAGATCACGTGGGGAAGGCCTAAGGCAACAGTGTCTAGGTCAGGAAACATGTGATACCATAGACAGATGCAGGCTCTGCTATGGCCCAAACCTGATTTTGTTTTGTTTTTCAAGATGGGGTTTCTCTTTGTATATTCCTCATAGTCCTGGAACTTGCTCTGTAGATCAGGCTGGCCTCAAATTCACAGAGATCCGCCTGCCTCTGCTGGGATTAAAGGAATGTGCCACCACCACCCAACATCCAAAACTGTGTTTTAACTAAACGGTGAGAGGACAGGTCATCCTGTAACAACCCACACGAGCGGCCAGCTGTTTTGTACAACAGCCGAGGATGCTGAGGCGGTTCTGAGGCCCTCATGGAGCAGGACTGGAATAAAAGCTCTTGCCCTCTGGACACTGGGATACTTACTACCTGTGCAGGTACAGACACACAAGAGTGAGCCTGGAGCATAGCATACCTGGAGGGAGGTAAGGTTCCTGTGCCCCGAGCCCATGGCACTGACCGAAGGGACAATGCACCTTCCTGGTACCCACAGGACTCTTCCCTCTTGGGTATGACGGTGGTACCTCGCCTGGTGTCGGCACTGGGCACTTTTTTCTCGCATGCTTGCTGGGGGTCTGCTGCTAAGACCTTATAAATGCTGAGACCCACCGCCTGCTGTGGCCCCAGAAGTGGCTGCTCAGGCAGTGTGTGGCACGTGGGCTAATGACCGAGGCCTGGTTAGAGAGGCATAGGGGTCTCCAGTACTGGGACTGGAACAGACCCACTGCCTGTGTGTTCTCAACAACCAGTACCATCTTCAGACCTGTCGGGAGGGGCCTCTGTGTGGTCACACCCTCTGCCCTGCCATTCATCACTGTGGAGATGCTCTGGGCAGTGTCACTGTGCAGCCCTCACCCAAGTATTCAGCAAAGAAGGGACAAGGTACCAATTATGAAGTTTCTGTTTATCAGATATTTTAAGAGTTTTTAGTGTTAGTTCTTTTGTTTAGGAGCATCAGTCATTTCTACATCATCATCATCATCATCATCACTGGTGCTGTGGATAGAGGCCTCGTGCACTTCAGGCAAGTACTCTGCCTGAGTCACACCTCGGCTCACCTCTTTAAAGAAAACCAATAAAACCCAATCTATGTGTGTGAATGTTTTGCACACATACATGTTAAGTGCGTTATATGCATGCCTGGTACCCGAGGAGGCCAGGAGAGTCAACTGGATCCTCTGGAACTGGAGTTACAGATGGTGGTGGGCTTCCATATGGGTGCTGGGACTGAATCTGGGTCCTCTGCAAGAGCAGCCAGTACTGTGAACCACTGAGTCATCTTTCCAGTCCCTGGAACCGATCTTTTAAAGTTACATTTTAGAATGTGTGTGTGTGCATGCACGTGCATGTGTGCATGCACACACATACCATGACATGAAGTGTGTGGCGGTCTGACGGCAACTGTGGGACTTGGTTCTTCTTTTCATCTTGTGAGTCCTACAGCTGGCAGCAACTTTTCTGCTCAGCCTCTCTCCAGTTCTATGACTTGAGGTAAGGGAGCAGCTCCTGCCCTCTGCATGAGGTCAGTTGTCTTGTTCCTGCACTGCCCCCTGGGAACGAGTTTGAGGCAGTGAGACAGGTCAGTGGTTAAGAGCAGCTTCTTGCTCTTTCTGGCTCAGAACCCCCATCAGGTGGATCTTGACAGTCTTTAACTCCGGCTTCTGGGGATCCAATACTCTCTTCTGGCCTTCTTTTCTCACACATAAAAAAATCCCAGGAGATGATATTTCCTATTAGGTGAGATAGGTCGTGCTCACGGTGACATGGCCATAGACAATATTTCCTTTAGAAAAAGAAAGAAAACAGGTGTGTTTCTTTCCTCTTGCTTGCTTTTAGAGCCCTTGTCAAAAACATTCAAACATATATGCCAGCACTATCTGGGCATTTTGCTTTTTCCTTGAGACAGGCTGTCATTCTGCAGCCCAGGCTGGCCTTAGATTCGTGGAGATGCTCCAGCCTCAGCTCTGGGTTCTGTCTGGTATTACAGGTACATGGCACCACACCAGGCTACCACACCGTTTTCATCACTGAAGCTTTGTAGGAAGTTGTAAATCAGAAAGCATGGGGTCTCAAGTTCAATTCCCTATTAAGATTCTGTGTGTAAGAACGTTTGTGTGTGTGTGCACGTGGAAGTCAGAGGTTGGCATCTTCAGTGATTGCTATCAACCTTATTTTCTGAGGTATAGCCTTTCACTAAAACTGGAGCTCACCAATTTGTCTAGGACAAGCAAGCATGGAGCTTGCCGTGTATGGGGGTGCTGGGGAATTGAACTCAGGTCCTCACGCCACACGGCATGCGTGTTACAGACAGCTGTCTTCCAGCACGAGACTGACTATCATTTTCGGGTTCTACACTGAGTCTGGAGCTAGGGTTCCTGCTTCTATGGAAAGAAAACTAGGGCTGTGTCAGGATTGCGCCTCAGCCATCATGGGGAGAACCGTCATCCCGGCAGTGACGTTTTCAGGTGCCTTGACACCTGCTCTGCCGTCTTCAGTTCCTTTAGTTCCTTTGCTGAGCCTAGCACCTACCTGCTTGGCTGGCTTCCTTCCGGCATCTTGTATCCCGTGATACTGTAAAGAGGGATATTTCCTTGGTTACGTTTACTAGCAGCCCAGGTGACTGGCTGGGGACATATGTCCAGAGAATGATACGGGAACATCACCTCTGTCATCTGATGGAGAGGGAAGGAGTGAATCCCACCGCACTGCTGGCAGATAGGGGACTAGTCGGCCCAACGTGGCACCTCAGGGAGACAGCGCCTGGTGACTTGGAGTCCTGAGTTTGCAGGCAGGTAGAGGTAGGGTTCTCCATGAGTGTCCTCTGTCAGTCCAGAGATTCTGCTCAGCTCCTGGCTGATGCCTGTGTCTGGAAGGTGTGGAAAGCAACTCTAGCACACCAACATGTCACCAGCAACTAGGACACGCTCAGATTCTAACCTAGCTTCTGTGCATCCTGCTGAATGAAGGCGGGACCACTCAGGTCACAGCTGCTCTGCCCACTCCCCTGCTGTGAGGATCTGGGTAGAGAGGTGAGGAGGCTCTAGTGAGACAGTACTGTTTAGCAGCCTGAGTCTTCCTCCCCCTGGACGGAGCTTTCCATGTCTGTCCCAATGCCCCACACAGAAGTTTCTTCCTCGGGCTCTTCCATGGAGGGAGAGTGTGGCCAGGGGCAGGTGGGCAAGTCTGTTAGCATGCCACAGTTGACCTGGTAGACCCATATAGCATGCCTGCTACACTAAGAAACAAGGATGAGACCCCTCTCCACCTGGAGTATGACCAGGGAGCATAGTACATCCAGTGCGAAGGTCCTGTGGCCCTGATGCAGTCAAGGCATGGGTGGGAGTGGGGCTCCCTGGATGGCTTTAGGTCACTCCTGGTTGGATTGACCCAATGGGGCTATAAGGATCATTTGCTAACAGAGCTAGGGACACCCCCAGCTTCCAGAAGGGGAGCTCTGGAAGTGTATGTATGATGGGATACATACATACATACATACACACACACACATATATATATATATATAATCAGAGGTAGAAACCTGTGAGTGTGACCATGGTTAGGGCTTCAGGTCCCTGTTTTAGACCTTTGATGACAGAGTCACCACAGCCAGGACCCGTCTACCCTGGGGTGAAAGGTCTCCCTGAGTATGGCTGGACCACCTACAGTCAGAGCTGCCAAGTCTCTTTGGTGGTTCCCCTAGGCCGCCAACTACTGTGATGACCTCTGTGCTTGACAAGGGAAGTAACTGCCCACTGACAGCCACATCAGCTTGTCTACTGTCACTCTTGCTGGGCTCCTGTGGGCCTGAGGCCCTAATCCCACACTGAGCACCAGTGTTATCAGGTGACCACTCCCCACATCGTCCCCCCCCCCCCCCCCCCGTCCCCGCTCCAAGTGGCACTACTGGTGTCCTCATCCCAACTCTGGAGGCAGTGTTGACCTTTAACCCCAGCACTGTGAGTTCAAGGTCAGCCTGGGCTACGCAGAGAGAACCTGTCTCGAAAGAACAAAAGATGTCAGTGAACCTCCGAGTCATCCAGTATGACAGTGTGAGCAAACCCAGACACGGGGGACAGCTCAGGCAGGACTCAGGGTGACTTCTGGGTGAAGATGACATTCTGCAGCCAGCAGGGCCCAGCTCCTACCTGTCCTGATCACACTCTGGCTGTCAGACCCTGTCTGTCCTACAGCAGGCATCCTGGTGGATTTTGATTGCACCAGGGCTGGCTCCTCCACCCCCCAGGCTTCAACACTGCTTTTAGCCCTGCTGGACCTGCAGCCCCCACCCCCCCAGGATCCTTGGGAAGGAGGGGGTGCATTGCTGGACCAATGCCCAGGGGTGTGTATCTGGGGCCCTGAGGCTTCTCCTGTTGAGCCCCGAGACTGTGGTCCTGGTAACCTGGTAAGGGCTTGGAGGCCTCATGGTGAGTTCCAACATAGGCAACTAGGTGCTGCTTCCCAGGTCACCAGACTATCCAAGCAGCTGGTGTCCCTGCTAAGAGCCCCACCCCCATGTCTACCGCCTGGGACATGGACAGGACGCCCCCAGGAAGGGCTGCTCAGGCTGCAGGCTGCCAGTCACTCCTGTGGTGGTCATGGCAGACTTGCTGGCTCCAGTCTCCCTGCTCTGAGGCTTGTCTGTCCCTGACACACACAGAGTGCCCTGTTTCCTTGGGAGCTGGAACACGGGCTCTCTGTTTGCACCTGGGCTGGCCGTCCCCCCGAGACAGGCTGAGGGGGTGCTCTGTACAGACTTGTGCTCCCCCCCAACCAGCCTCCTCAGCTGAACCTTTTTGTTGTCCCTTCTGGGATTCTCTGCAGTGTGGCCCAGGGGCGGGCAACATGGGCTCCAGACACCACGCTTGGCAAGGAGGGGGATGGGAAAGCATTCTGAGTCTCTGCTGTCCTTGAAGCTGCAGAGCCTGGGCAATTCTCTCCACTCAGTGAAGTCTTTTCCACATATCCCTATGCTGGGGTGTGTAAGAAACCCATGAGCTCGTGTTTCTATGTGTGTCTGCCCAGGTAGTATGCAAGGGTCCCTGGGTGAGGGACCAGGCTGAGGATAGCAAGCCTCCTTCCTCAGGGAGATGGCGGGGTTTTGTGCTGCCACACTAGAGAGAGAGAGAGAGAGAGAGAGAGAGAGAGAGAGAGAGAGAGAGCGCGCGCACTGGCTATTGGCCTGACTATGAGCATACGGTTGGGTTAGGTGAGAACTAGCCTCTAGCTCAGGGAATCTGAGGACTTCTGAGGACTCCTAGGGTTTACCAACCTATGGGGTTGCTATCATAGCTCAGACTAAGAAAAGTTCCCCAAGTGACTGTCATCTAGATATGGGCAGTGGCCTCCTGTGATAGTGGAGGAGTGCCCATGTGACCCTGCTGTGTGGCCACATGCAGGGCATGGGGGTGATGAGGCTTCTCTGTAACAGAGAAGGGATAGCAAGGTGACGGGGACAGAGGCAGGAGGCTGGCAGTTACCGAAGCACAATCTTTTTCAATTCTCTTCTTGGCAGGACCGATGGGCTCTGTGTGGGACCCATGGCCACAGCAGAAAGTACAGGCAGGAAAGCAGTTAGTCTCTGGTCTTTATTTCAGGATGTGTCTGGATGGGGTTTTAGCAGCGGCCACTCCCGAGTCCTAAAGAAGTCTTTCAGATCCTCAAGGTGGAGTGGCGGAAAGTAGGGACCAATTCGCTTGCGTATCCACCACTTGCCCTGGGCAGCGTGCTGGCCACTGGGGAGGCTGAACCGGTAACGGTAATGTTCTCCTCGGATCCACCTGCGGGGAAAATGTGTCAGCCTGCTGTCTCTTTGCCACCCCCCAGACTCCTCACGGCCCCTGAATCCCAGAAGGCAGGCCTAGAAACCTACAATCCTTGGGTGGAGCCCCATCAGCCTCACAATCAAAATGTTCCCAACCCTGTTACAAATCTTGACTGTAAGACAGGTACATCTGGGCTCCAGTGCGCACAGAGCCTATCCTGGGACTTGAGGAAGACCCTAGGTGATGCCCTGTCTCCATGATTCACCCTCTCCAACTCGTGCTACTAGGGTGTGCACAGGGCACAGCAAGCCTTGTGATGGGACCAGGGTATGGGTCTCAAGGCACCACTGGTTCTAGGTGGGACAGCCATCCTTCCTCTGGTGTGCAAACCTGGGTGGAAAAGGGTTCCTGATGATGTCAGTGTCAGCCATGCTGGACTCCACAGGTGGGCACGGAGAGGTTAAGGCTGTGTCTTGGAGATGGCCACAAAGTCCCTCTTCTCCTGAATCTGGGGTCCTGACCCTTCATTTCACAAGGTTGGGGAGACTGGGGATACACAGAGCCTCTGGGAAAGTCACTGTTGTGCGATCATGCCATCCTCTCTGAATTGGCCTTCTTGCTTTCATTTTCTTCTCAAGATACAGTCGAAGGTCTAGGATTGCAGGGCCTGGACATTAGTTACAGCCAAAGAGGGTGTGGTGTGTTTGGGGGAGTCCTGGGACAGGGCTCAGGTGCCCAGGGTTGGGCACGGGAGGCTAGGGAAGAGTCAGGGCCTTATGCTTTCCCTGACAGGTCTGTGAGGGTACGGAGGACTGATACCACCCGTGGAATGTTCTAGAACATGACTGGGCTGGTTGGTTGTTATCAGTGTGACACAAACTAGAGTCACCTGGGAAGAGGGAGCGTTAGCTTCAGAACAGCCTCTATTAGTGACCTACAGGTTGTCGGTCTGTGGGGTGGTCCTGGGTTGTGGAAGAAAGCAAATGAAGCAAGCGATGGACAGCAAGCCCGTGAGCAGCATCTCTGTGGTTTCTGCAGAGGCCGGAAGAGGGTGTTGGGTCCCCTGGAGCCTGAGTTACAGGCAGTTGTGAGTTGCTGGATGTAGGTGCTGGGAACCAAACTTGGGTCCTCTGGAGGGGCAGGCAGTGCTCTTAACTGCTGAGCCATCTCTCTAGCCCCTATTTTCTCTCATTAATTTTATGAGTATGAATGTTTTGCCTGTAAGTGTATACATGCACCACATGTGTGCCTGATGCCAGTGGAGGTCAGACAAGGGTGCTGGATCCCTTGAACTGGAGTTACAGATGGTTGTGAGGCTCAAAGTTGGGTTCTCTGCAAGAGTAGCCAGTGCTCTGAACCACTGAGCCATCTCTCCAGCCTCATTTTTTTTTTTTTTTTTTTTTTTTTTTAGTGATCCTTTTAGAGGGCTGGGGACATAGATCAGCAGATATAGTGTGTGATCCCTAGAAACCACATTAGAAAAAGAAAGCCGAGCGTAGTGATGGACATTTGTAACCTCAGCGCTGGGAGGTGGGAAAAGGACAATCTCTGAGGCTCTCTGGCTGGCCAGCCTCCTTGAGTTGGTGAGATCTGGATCGCAGTGTCCTCTGACCCTCAGTGGCAAGGTGGTTGCTCTGGTTCTGACTGCTCAGTCCCTTTGCTGTCTACAGTTTCTGCACATCTCCTGTGCCTGATCTGCATCTCTCCAAGATTTACCATCTGGGGTTCCCTTTGTTTACTGACTTCCAGGTCTGTGTCTTTTGGCAACTTTGGGAAATCTTCACTAACGCCTTCCCAGACCCAAGTGAACTCTTTCCCTGGGGGCAGCCACCCACCCTGGATCTTGTCGAGGTCCTCGGCCCACGCTCTACGCCGGCGCTCAGCTGGTTGCCTACACCGGGTCACCATCGACTCCTCCTTCATATCCCATTTCTTCCTCCCCTCTTCCGGTGCTTTACCCCAGGGACTACTTTTCCATCCTGAGTCTCCCCTGTTCTCCCTCTGTCGTGTTTCTTTGCTGACTCTTCTTGTGAGTGTTGTGTTTATAATCACCTCACGATTGCTGTGGGGAGAGTCAGCTGTTGAATCTGCTGACTGTTTATTCCTGATCGGTTCAATGTCTTCCTGGTTCTCAGTGTGCTCTTAACAGTTTGGGTGCTGGGATTCCAGATCACTTTTGACCCTTCTGTTGCACTGATTCTTCTAACTCCATGCTGGAAGTCCGGATGTTTTTTACCTTGCATCCTGGCACTGCCAGGCAAAGGTGGCAATCGAAGGCCCCCACTGATGACACGAAACCAAGCTGTCACTCCTTGCTGTGGTGAGCATCTGGGTCACCACAGGGCCGTCCAGCAGCTCAGTGAGTGACCTCTCCTGCTCTTCCTGCTAGGTGGGACCATCTGCTGGGTGGCTTTGGCTGGAGCCGAACGGTCTTGCTATAGCTTCTCTCTCGCCAGCGGCTCCTTTTTGGGCATCTGCTGCTGCTGTTTCATCTCCACAGACAGGAAGCAAGACACGCTGGTGCTATCTTAAGGTTGATCCTCCCACTATGGCGACTCCAGAGTCGCCCACCCATTCAGAACATCCCAGCTGGCTGTGGGGTGAGGCTGAGGTCGCATTCAGCTCTGCCACCAAGCAGAGTGTGATGACGGCCCCTCTGCTGGGCCATGCTCTGTGGCATTTGCTGTATTTCAGCTTGCACATATATTAATAGTGACCAACAATTCACTACTGATTCACGCAAGAGGCAGCCGGGTCTGCATCTTCATATCCACAGATTGGCCTGTAGGCTTTGTCTCCACAAGGTATACCCGACCACATCCTCAGAGTCTCCCACTGGATCAGGAGACTTCATCTGAAGCCCCAGCCTTCCACCTAACCCAAGACGGTAGCCAGGAGGCTGGTCAGTGAAAAACTCTCCAGAGTCAGGAAGGACACAGCTCTGTGTCAGAGCCATTTGGCCACTAGCAAATCTGGGGATGTCTCCTGTGTATCCACTTCAGTGTGTGCCTAGTTCAGGTCTCCTGGTGGCTGCAGGGTGCTGGGTAAGGGCAGGGAGGCAGGTGGTCCCTGGGGAGGGATGTCCCCACATCCTCAGTGCTACAGTAGGCAGTGTGGGAAGGCACTTGGCTGGCTCCCTTGCCTGGGATGCCACACTTGCAGCTGCTCACGGCCCCTCAGCACCCCTCCTGACAGCCCCGACAGCTGTGAGCAGCCCCAGGTGCAGCTGTCCTGAGACTTCTCCAGGGAGAGACAGGAACGTGTTTTCTGTCAGCATCAATGGTGGGCAGGACACAGGAGAGGGATGGGGCCAGGGCTGCTCAGTCCCCTAGTCTCTGGCTGTGACTGAATTCCACATCATGTATCAGGGTGCCCAACTCAGGCACTAGTGAACACTACCCACTGACCACAGGCTGAAGTGAATAAGGAGACTCTTACCTGGGGGGAGTCTTGCCCTCGAACGGGTTGAGAGCTAGCAGGGACAGGGCCTCGGCGTCACCAGCTAGGAGCTTCCCCGCCAGGTGGATGATCCACTCGTTCTGCTCATAGGTCTGAAAGGACAGTGTTCATGAGGTCGGAGTAGGGGCACAGCCATCCCTCAGCAACCTGGCACCTGCCCCGGTGTAGTCGCTACCTGGACACTCTGAACATCATCCACTTCCCTGAGCTCCACAGTCTGGCATGGTCAGGTGGGCCAGGGTTGGGTTTCCTCTGAGGGCCCACACGCCAATCTTCCAGAACTGCCTGCTTCATGTTCTTCCTGGGGTCTCACCTGAGGATCACTCATTCACAAACCAGCCCTCAGCTGTGTTTTCTACCTGGCTACTTGTCCTGGCCTTAGGTGTGAATGGCCTGGGCCTTGCGGGGAGAGGAGCTATCTGCAGGAACTTTCACCACGCAGGTTTAGGTCAAAGCAAGGCCTGTTCAGTGCCTTGGGTGGGATGCACCTCTAAGGAGAGGTCCCCTTTTCTGTGAACCTTTTGGTAGGAGTCTGAGCACACATGCAGGACTTGTCTGTGGACAAAGGGGAGTTTGTGCCAGGTCAGAGCATCATGGTGGGACATTATTACCTGGAAAGCTGCAAACCACATCAGCCAGTCCAGGCGGTAGTGGTATGGAGAGATAAGGCATGGCCGCCTCCAGAGGTCTCCTGGCTTACACTTGAACTCATAGTCCTCCCACACTGCGTCGGGTGCACTGGCATTAGGGCTGGCTGTGCCCTGCAGGATCACCTCAGTCCGTTCCTTGGTGATACTGGGGGAGATGAAGAAGGTCAGCGAGACCACAGTATCTACCTTCCCCCAGCAGGAGAGGGGGATGCCATGAGCCCATGCCTCCCAAAAGTGAGCCAGGATGGTCAGGAGGGCAGAGCCCAGTGCCCCAGCCAGGATGCTGGCCCATACCTTCCAAAGGCCCCGTAGGTGTTGACAATCCTGAGTGGGTTGAAGGAGGTGTTCATGACCTGCCTGGAGCTTAGCAGGTTGATGACCACAGGCACGCTGAGCCAGGCCACCAGGATGCCCAGGGAGAAGTTGACCACTTGCCGTACCATGCAGCCTAGTCCAAAGGTGGGGGTGGGGGGCAGGGTGGTCCTCATCAGCCAGGCTCCCAACCTCATGGCAAAGCCGTGCTATCCCTTCAGGAAACCTTGGCTGCTATTCCGCCACCTCAGCTCAGGAAGGCCTAGAGAATACCCAGCTGGCCACAAAAGCCACGAGCCGGGAAAGGTGTCCTGAGCCACAGCCCCTTGTGCTTGAGCCAAGAGCACCCCCTGAAGTCAGTCAGGAGGATGAAGGGTGACTGTCCATGCAGGGGGCCCTGGAAGTGGCTAACGGGCCAACAGTCCTGGTAAAGGTAGGCAGCAGATGTTCCCCCCCACCCCCCCGGGGCCTATGGTACCCACCCTTATTTTCCTGAGTGCTGTTGATCTGGGGGGTACCCTACCTGCCTACACTAGGCATGAGGGTCATGGGGCTAGCTGGTCCTGGTCCACCTACCGTATCTTGGCTTGGACTGGACCCCTTGTGTTTCTTCCTTTTGCATCTTTAGGACTTGGTTCTTTAAGCCTCGAGGTCCTGAGGGAAACAGGAATCCCAGAGCTGCATCGTCAAAACAGGCAAGGCTGGGCACAATGGTGAGCCAATTCAGGAAGCTCAGGTTCCCACTGATGATGAGGATCACCTGTGGGCGGAGACTGCACTGTAGTATGCCTGGGAGCCGGGCCTGCTGTCCTCTAGTCCTCCATGTGTCTGTGCTGGGTGCCCGCATTTCAGTAGCACAGCACAGGCTCCAGGGGGGTTTCTGAGCTCCTCTTGCTGTTCTCTTGGCTAGGGGGTGGGATCCTAGGTCCTCTCTAAATTTGCAGGTGCCGCTGAGGCCCCAGGTACAGAAACCCACACAGGAATTGGCAAGCCCAGGAAAGGCTAGGGTTGGGGGATGGATTGACCTATTTCTGTGGTGGCCTGAGAACACCGGGATATACCACGGTGGCAGCTCTGGCTAAGGTATGGCTAATGGTAGGCACTGAGGTACAGACTTTGCCTGGAGGTGATGAGAACCCAGGGGGAACTGGAGTTCACAGGAGACACCAGAGTGACCTATGACCTAGGGCTGAAGATAGTGACCACAATGGATGCCCTTGAGACCTGGAGGACAGTGGCAGCTGGCCAGGAGTCATGGCTGGGAGAAAGGTTTACACCTGGGTAGGTACTTTAGTCAGACACCCCTACCCCGAAGGCCAGCACCCCTCACACTCTGATGATCCTGGGCTCTCCCAAGTTCACAGAATGAGAGCTACAGGGTGGCTTCTAGGATACTGTGGAGGGTCACCCGATAGGGACAACATCTATCTCAGAGTCCTTGCTTGTGCTCCTGCAGTGGACGTGACCTGTGCCGGGTCCTGAGGCAGGCCTGTGGTGACTCTCCGACTACTCTGCAGGATGGCCGCAGGGTTTCACACTCTCACAAGTGGGGCCCAAGGCTGCTGCTCAGGGTTAATATATGGTGCTGCCTCCTGGCTGGGAGTCTCAGGTGCTGCTCGGCATCTCACCCGCCTCTCTCCCTGAACGCTGGATGCCTCCTACTGAGCAGGAGTGCTTTCCTAGCATCTCCTGCTAGGAAACTCATGCCCTGCGCCTCTTTGATTGGATGGTTGGGGGGTTTACATTTTCACAGGTCACAGCGGTGCCTCCTGTCCCACCTGAGAAGTCCCTGCCCATGCCACAGTGACACGTCTGTGAGCACAGGGCCAGTTGCTTCTTCCCTCCCTTTTAGATATCTACTGTGGATGGACGTGACCTAGCAGCTAGACGGGCAGGTTCTTTTTAGGTCTAGTATGACCTGGGGGCAAAGAGATGAGGGGGGTGAGGGGTTCCCAGATAGGAAGGTGGCAGAGAAGGCAGCTCTGACTTCCCAGCGCTGGAGGGGATGTGAGAGGCTGGTTGAACCAAGCTTGGGGAGCCCAGGGGCGAGAGAAAGACTTGGGAGAGCTCCTGACCCCCACCCCAGTAGGATCAGGAGCGGTCCCCGGGCTGTAGATTGTTATCGGAACAGCCCGGAGTCCAAGCTCCCTTGTACCAAGGGATGCAGGTGTGGGTTCCCTAGGGTGCTGGAAGGCCATTTAGGTGCTGTGCAAGACCTCTCAGCATCCCTGTCTGTTCCTAGATGCTGTACCAGCCCTTCCAGTTGCCCTCTGTGGCTAGCCTGGTGTGCCGAATAATACCTCACTGGATAGCTGGACATTGCTTCCATATAGGTCTGTCCCTTCTTGAGGGCCTACAAAAGAACCCAAGTGGTTCCAACTCCATCCCCTCAGGCTCTATGTGGTCTGCTCCATCTGGGAATCTGCACAATCTAGCACCCAGATGTGTGCTGTTCCTTCCCCTCAGCAGAAGTCTGAGAAATGCATTGTTTCCAAACACCTCACACACCGAAGGGCCATCACAGGCGATCGTCCCACCCTGCCAGAGCTGCAGAGCTCCCAGGAGTCCAGCCCATGATTTCCCAGGTTAGCCTCCATGGTCTAACCTGCACCTGTGGCTTTCTGTGCTTCTGTGATCTGTGCATGTATTGTTCCCAACAAAGGGAATTTGAGGGGCTTACTCTGCTTTATGTGGTCAGGGTTGCCAACGTGGCTGCATCCCACGGCTCTGCCCTCTCCCGCTCAGCATCTGCTCTGTTCCTGAGCTGGGGAGTCTGCCTGCCCCCCTCTCACATGTTCAAGGTATTCCACTTAAAATGTCATCCTGTCCACTCGAAACTGAGTCCTAGAGTAGGGACCATGACCAAATCAGTCTCTCAAGTCCTCCTAGCTGGTGACAACAATGAATGCAGATAAAGAAGCTCAGGAAATCACGACCAGGACAGACTTGAAGAAACACACAGGTCCTGCCCAGTTTCCAAAAGCAGGACAAGAGTGACCGTCAACTGCACATCATATACAGGAGCAGAGACAGAGGTGATGGCCATCTGGAGTGACGTGTGATAGAGAGCAGGGGAAGGACACCTTTCTGAGGTGACAAGGAAGCTGTCAAGCAGCTAGGTGTGGTGGTGCATGTCCCAGAACTCAGAAGTGGAGGCAGGAGGGCTCCAAGTTCTAGCCTAGCCTCAGCTACATCATGAAGCCTATCTTGGGGATGGTGGGCAACCTCTGGGAAGAACTAGAAACCAAGTGCAATGGAAACTCTCAGGAATCGATGAGGGTGACCTAGCTAATACCCCTAGTCACGGGGGACATGGAGCCTGAATTGGCCATCACCTGGAAGTCCAGGCAAGATTTCCAGTGGAGGGATTGGGACACCAACCCAGCCACAAAAACCTTGGTCCGAAAATTTATCCTGCCTTCAAGATGTGCCTGCCCGTAAAGACGGCGCACAGCCTGTGGGAATGGCCAACAAAGGACTGGGCCAGCTTGAGAGGGAGCTCACTCCTGAGGACCAGGAAACAGGCAGGGCAGGCCAGAGACCTAGGACAGAACCAAATGTGACTGCAAAAAATAAAAAAGTCAACGAAAGGATCCTGATGATATTCTGCTATACTCAGGTCATCAGAGAGACCTCACCAGCAACTGATGGGAACAGATGCAGAGACCCACAGCCAAACACTAGGCAGGGCTTGGGGAATCCTGTAGAAGACAGGGAGGGAGGATTGGAGGAGCCCAAGGGGTCAAGAACACCATGAGAAAACCCACAGAATCAACTAAGCTCCTAGGGGCTCACAGAGACTGAACCCACAACCAAGGAGCCTGCATGGTATTGACCTAGGCCCTCTGCATATATGTTACTGTTGTGCAACTTGGTCTTCTTGTGGGACTCCTAACAGTGGGAGCAGGGGCTGTCTCTGACTCTGTGGCAAGTTTTTGGGACCCTTTCCACCTAGCAGATTGCCTTGTCCAGACTTCATCAGTGCCTAGTCTCACTGTAACTTGATATACCATAGCTGGTTGATATCCATGGGAGGCGCACTCTTTTCTGAAGAGAAATGGAGGAGAAGGAAAGGATTTGGGGGCAGGGCTGACGGGAGAAGGGGGGGGAGAACCTGTAGTTGGGATTTAAAAATAAACAAATAAATAGGTACAAAAAGCGAGAGCTGGGTGTGGTGTGGAGAGGCAGAGGCAGGCGGAGCTCTGAGTTTGAGGTCAGCCTGCTCTCCAAAGTGACAGAAGCCCATCAAGAGAACTCCAGCAAATCTAAAGAACAAAACAAAACGCTCTCCAGATAAACCTGATTCCTGTGTAAGCTTGGAGCTACCCAGTGCAGAGCGCTAAAAAGGTGAAATGCGCATTAATATTCAGGTCTTTGGGGTTTGGAGGACCAGCTCAGTGGTAAAGAATACTTGCTGGCCTTGTAAAGGACCCAACTTCTTTCCAGCAGCCACATGATGCGGCTTAAAATCCCCCGTGACTCCCGTTCCAGGGACCCGTCGCCCTGTGCTGGCCTGTGCAGCCCTTTCACACACACATGCACACCCTCACATACGTGTTAAAAAGTCTTTAAGAATTTAAGTCATTAAAATTCCTTATAATACTAAAAAATGAATATAAAAATTAGCCAGGAACACAGAACTTTTAGCTTTGAGACAGGGTCTCTGGGCCCAGGTTGTCCTCAAACTCCCAACCCTCCTGTGCCAGCTCCAGAGTGCCAGGGTTACAGCTGTGTGCTGCATGCCTGCCTTAGAACTGACTTTTGATATAACAGAACAATCATCCCATGTGGGAGCCCAACTGCGCTGAAACACACCTAACCGGCTGATGAAGCATTGTTTCTGGGGTGTCTGTGTAGGTCCAGAAGGAAGACTGGAAAACCTTAGAAATGCCAGCCAGAGTTATGACTGCCCTGCCCAGTGCACTGTCTATCAACCCCCGCCCCCCCCCCCCCCCACACACACACACCAAGGTCTGGAAAGAGCAAAAGTGTCCAGGAAGGGCATCACTCCTCTCTCTGAGCTGGACGTCCACCTCCTCCTGTTCTGGCCTACGGCGGTTCTTGGTCCATGGATGAAGCCAGGGTGAAGACTGCTGGCTTCCATCCATAGCTCTTGGTCCTTGAGTTTGGGCTGGGACCAACGAGCTTTCTTGGGTTCCCAAACTTGCAGGTGGCAGATCCTAAGACTTCCCACGGTGCACAGGCTGAGTAGCCACTCCCCTCTAATCTGTGTGCTCTGTAGGCTTCTCCTCCAGGGAACAAATCCGTGGTGGAAATGTGTAAACTGCCCTGACTCCTGTGCCCAGCACGTACAAGGTCCTTACATTTGTGTCCTTCCATCCCTGCACCCGGAACCTCCTCCTTAGCTTTCAGGGGCAGGTGGCAGCCTCATTCCTTCTTTTCCCAATCATGGTTATGTTTATGGAAAGCAAGGCATGGAGAAGTGCTGTTGGGGTTCTCGGTGTGTCCCAAGACACTGCTCAGTGCTGCTCGGGAAGGGCCTCAGGAGGAACCCAGCTACTGCAGAGGGCTCAGGGCATCCCTTTGGGCTGCAGTTTTGGAACCTGTAGTCTTGAAGGCTCTAGTCAGCACCTTCCTGGAGAGACACTGGATCACATGACAGATGGTGACTTTGGATCCTTACCAGTCACTGCTCTCCTTCTGCCTACAGACACCTTCTCAGCCAATTCAAAGTGTCTCTAGCTTCCAAGCAGAGAGGCTGCAACTCAACACCTCACGGTGGTGAGGCTATGGCTGACCACTCTGCTGAGATGACATGCCCGCCTGTTGCAGACACTTGTCTGGTGAGGCTGGGGTGATGTCCTGTGGTCATGAGCCAGGGGTCAGTCCCCATGGGCAGACTCAGCTGTACTGCTGATGACCTAGAACCCTGCATGGCATGAGGCCTCTCCTCAGCTGTCTGGCAGCTGTGCTAATACATCTGGGGAACTCTGAATGACACAGACCCACCCTAGAACTCATGGCCTTGGGGTGGAGGGCAGCAACTTAAGGAAGGAAGGGTTTGTCTCACAGTTTAAGGGCACATAGTCCATCATGGAGGTAAAGCAAGGTAGTGGGAACTTGAGGTAGCTGGGCACATTAGACCTGCAGTCAGGAAGCTGAGAGAGATTGAATGCAGGTGCTCACTCTCTTTTCTCCCTCTTCCCTAATTCATTCAGTCTGGGGATGGTATGACCCACATTCAGAGTGGTGGTTTTCCCTCCTCAGTAACCCTCTCCGAAACACCCTCACAGACATGCCAAGGTGCTGACACAGGTGAACCGTCACCGGGTGACATCCTGTTTCTAACAAAGCACTGTGGAGAGCCTGTGACACTTTGCCCAGGTGGACAGATGGGGGCTGTGCTCGGGGGGGGGGGGAGGTCAGGCCCACGCGGCCCCCGCAGCTCAGGATCCCCTCCCCGCACAGCCTGTTTGTTGGGTAAGACTGGAATTCATCACGCAGCACATGGTCCGAGTGCTCCAAAGGGATCTTATCTCTCTTGTTTTCCTTCTAGCATCACTGCAGCCATCCCTCTGAGGGAAATGAATCTCGTCACAGCCCATCTGTGTTTACCCCTGGCTGGTAGGGTCCTCAAGGAACTCTCAGTGTGCTCTGCAGATGACCGGCTTGGAGCACAGCCGGGCGAGGCTCGAGACGGCAGAGGAAGATGAACGTGTGTTGGTGGAATTCGGCCCCAGAGAGGCTCTAGCAGATGTTCCAGGCAGATGCAACATGACCCCGAAAGGAAGAGGGGGGATTTCTGGATGTCCCTGCTGGGCTTGCAGTTACCACAGAGGACACAGGCCTGCAGGCAGGCTTCCCACAGGGGAGACAGGAGCTTGAGAGGACCTTCCAGAGGACATGTATGTGGTCACAGGGAACTTCCACAGAAGACATGCATGTGGTTACAGGGACCTTCACAGAGGGCAGGTATGTGCTCCCAAGGCATCTGGGTAACCCCAAGTGACCTTAGCAGAGGAATCAACCTCAAAGCTGCCTCCCAAGACCCTCTCTTGCCTTCTCTCCAGAGTCTCAGGTCCAACCCCACCTCCTTCTTGTTCCTTGGTGGGGACTGATACCATGGTGGGCCTCGGAGATGTCCTGACCTAGCTCAGCAGCGGAGGCTGACCATACCGCCCCTTCCGGGGTCATCCCCTCAGAGCTCTTCAGCTCTTCCCACGTGGATCCTGCGGCCTTGCAGGGATCCTAGGAGCAGCTGTGTAAACCGAGTGTGGGAGGAAGTGAGTGAACTCAGACTCTGCCTGGCCCACAGGAAGGAACACAGGAACCAATGGGTCAGGACACAGTGCAGCTCCACACCAGGCTCTTCTCAGACGCCCCAGAATGGCGGGTGCTGGGGGCTGGCACTGCACTCTCGACACCTTCCATGGGGGCTCTTGGGATGGTAAAGGCCACACCAGCTGACCCTGATCCTATACTCAACTCTGCCTGGGGGACGTCAGACCAGTCCTGGGGAAAAGCCCTAGCCCTGGATAGCTCCATTTCTTCTGGACGTGGTGTGACCAGTTCATGTTCTCTACCGTGGGAGTCAGGTGGAAGCTGCTGGCCAGGGATCCCCTCATGACAGAGCAAATTCACGGCTGCCTCTGCAAGGACTACAAGGAGTTAACAGAGGCTCAAGGCTGCTGGCAGCTCTTGGAAGGTGTGGTGTAGGCTTCTTCATTTTCTAGGGTGTCCCACGTGGGGGTTGCTGAGAGAAGCTTGCTGTACAGCTCCTTGTACACAGGAAGAGGAGACTCCTGAACCCCAGGAGACCCCAGAACCCAAGGTGTCTGCTTTGTCCAGATGAGGACTCTTGCTACGTGTCTCTGGTATCTGTGTAGCTGAGGCACTGCAGGCAGCCATTCCCAACATGGCATCCCTGGTCTCTGCAAAACTCCCCCGTGTTTAGTGTGGAATGCATGTGCCTGCCCTGACCCTTATTCTCCCTGAGGCTCTGGGTATTATTGTGGAAGGCTCAGTCTAGGCACCAACTTCCTCACTAGGCCATGCTGGCCCAGGAGCAACCTCATTACCCTCTCCAACCTTACACATGGGCCAGGACAAGAGGGCAGAGACACTTCCAAGGCTATGGCTCTTCCTCAATGTCTGGTCCACCCAGCTGGATGGTCTTGCTCCTCAGGCAAGGTGGGGTCTGGGAGCCAGTAGTCATCTCAAGACTGGAACTGCCTGTGGCCTCCAGAAGATGTGTGGGAAATAGGCACTCCAGGCAAATCTAAGCTCTGAAGAGATATGAGGAGTTACACCGTAGGGAGGAGCCTGGGACACATGACTGAGAGAAGCTCGGGAAGCCTGAAGACCAGGGGTCAGGGGAGAGGAGGATGAAGCAGTGCTCCCATGACTCTCAGGGTGGGAAGAGGTCTGCACGACAATGACATTCTCCATTGTCCAAACCCAAAGAACACTCTGCGGCCTTTGGTGAGTCATGCGTCATGTCGGCACCTCCACCTTGTACCCAACAGTGGGAAGTGCTCATAGTGGGGATGTGGGGCACAAAGGAATTTTCTAGAGCATCCTGATTAAAAGACAAAACAAAAAGGAGCCAGTATGTTAGAGCACTAGAGCTCGTGAACAGGTAGTGGCCAGAGATGTGGAGCAGCCAAAGGTCACTGCGGCAGAGGTGCCAGTGAGACTCAAACACCTGCTCCCCGTCAGTCCTGATTTAAACAGAGCTCTGCACGGAGAGAAGGGACACGAGAGAGACAGGCTCAGGGACCCAAACTTTGCACCGAGGAGAACATGACGTCCCCTCTCCCCTCTGCACTAATAAATCTGAAAACAGCTGAAGCTGACATTTATTCCCAGGAAGATGCTGACTGTCAAAGCTGCTTCAAAAAGGGTGTCCCACAGCCACAGTCCGCACCATGGCAAAGCTCTCAAAGCTCTGCGCAGAAGCACACCCAGCATTGCCCAGGCTCCTGAGTACAGGCTGCCTGGGTCTCCGTGGACCCTTCAGAGAGAGCGGACAGTCTTCAGAGCCCAGACAGGGAATCCACACTAGGCCCACATTACGCTGGAAAACTACAGACAGGTCTCTCTCACTGACAACCATGCAAAATCTAAAACAAAACATTGGCAAATTAGCCCTAGCAATATATTAAAATATCTACAGCATGACCAAACTGAGTTTATTTTAGAATATGAAACTAGCTCAACCGGAGCAGCGGTAATGTAATTCACCTCATTAACATATTGAAGGGGAAAACCCTGCGACCCTCTCCTGACTGATGGTCAACATTCATTCATGACTGAAAACAGAAAACCAAAACCACAAGGTGAGCCTGGCCTGGTGGTGCAGGACTGTCATCCCAGCTGCCGGGAGGGCTGAGGAAGGAGCACAAGCTCAAGGGCAGCACAGACAACTTCCTGAGACCCTGACTCCAAAGACATCAGCCCTCAGGAAGTAGAGGCTGAGGGACCACAAGTTCCAGGACAGTCAGGGCCACATGGCAAGACCCTGTCTTAAGCAACTTACCCAATTCCTAGTAGACTGATGTCTATGTAGAGCAAGACACCTAACATTCTAGGGTTGGATCCAAGAACACAGGGCGTGTCTGTGTGGAGCAGAGGGGTGCCTGAGCAAGGTTTGTGTCTCTCCCTGCAGGCAGCTCCCTGAGGGCAACCAGACACCACCATGGGCTCATGGAATCTGGGAAGGGGACCCTGGAATCCAGCCTGGATCAGATGCAGTGGGGCTCCTGCAGGGGGTGAGATGGAGCTGATGAAGCCACTCCCCTGGGTGCTAACTCAGAAATGACGAGACAGGCTCTTGTCTTCTGTAGACACACGGGGACCCCAAGTGGTGGCACCCTGGCACAGCCTACCTGGAAAAGGATCTGCAGCACCCCGTGAAGAATGCACATCCGGCGGCCGAGGAACAGGAAGAAAGGCACAACAAGTTCCAGGAAGTGGTTGCTGAGTGTCTCAAAGTGATGGAACCACCAGGGTGACCTGTGCAGGTAGTAGGCCATCGGGTTGGGCACTGGCTGGGTCTGTGGGGACAAAAAGAGGCTTTTGAGTTACCACCTTGGCTGATGAGGGTGGTACTGCCCTGGCTATGAAGAAGCCATCTGTTCTCTAGCCCTGTGCATTTGCAACTGGCCTAGCCCATCGGGGCTGGAGGACTTCTGTGGGCAGGCTATTTTTGAAGCAAAAGCGAAGTTTTTTTTTTTTTGTCCTGTTTTAAGCCTTCATTATCTATAGGCAAAAGCGTACACTATCCCTGAAGGAAAAATCTTTAAAGACTTGTGAACAGATGAAGAATCTAAAGATGTAAGAACCAGCCTGCTGCCCCTAAGCACCAGTGGAATTGTGGGTGGCGGCTGCCTGGGGCTCATGGCCCACTGAGTTGCCAGTGGCCTGCCACCCAGTACTCACAGCCCACTGCCAGGCTCTATGGCCCCTAGGATCCCTTTTACCCCTCAGGGGATCCCACAGACCCATGCGGGCCTGTTCCACAGGAAATGGGTTTGAGCATAGGGAACTGGAGTCAGGGATAAGGGTCACAGGAGCAGTGGCTCTGGAAACAGGAGCAGGAGGTACAGGGAGGCAGAGAAGGGGCTGCCATGGTGCTCAGAGGACAGAGCTTGGTACTCTGCTGCTTCTTAGGCACGGTCCCCTCAGGATTTCACCTGGGCCATGGAGCACTTAAGGAGCCCACTTGTCAGCTCACCCCATCTTCATAGGTGTGGAGCCCCTCCCAGAAGGACACCTCCCCTGAAGCCCCGGGCCCCTACAAGTGCCCTGCTCCACCCCACGCGGGGCCCCTGCTACTTGAACCACCCATGTGATCACAAGAAAAATAAACAGCCTAGTAGGACAGAACAGAAACCAAGCTTTTCATTTAACAATGCTTCAGGCCACCCTCAGCCTAGCTCTGTGGGGCATCACCGCCCCTCTTCTAACTGGTCCAAACAAAGTGACCCCACAGCCCTGTGCCAGGAGACAGAGGCCATTGTGAGATCTTTGTCTGCCAGATCCACCTTCTCTTCAGCTGTGGACCCTTTACTTTCTCCCAGATCCTTCACTCCAACAGGACCAGAAACTGGAGCACTCTTGGCTTGCTGCCCCTCCCCCTTCCATTCTCCTGGGCTGCTGCGGCCCTTGTCACTGTTCCCTGTTGGGCAGATTCTGGGAATCAGTGTTGACCTCCACATCCCTTGGACTTGGAGACTCTGTGTCCCGACTGGAGACACCATTTGCAGCGGAACAGTCTAAGGATGAGAGTAATGGACCGTCACAGCCTCTGACCCTCAAAACTTCCAGAGGTTCCAGAAAGGGTAGGAAAGCAGACAACGAGGGAGGGTGACCATGGCCACAAGCATACTGGCAAGCGAGTACAGGGCTGGCGAAGACATCACCTCAGATCGGTAGGAAGCAGTGCCTGCAAAGTCACTGTGCTTCAGATCCGCACAGTGTCTGTCAGCTTGCAGGACAGTGTACCACAAAGAATGAGACACCGAGACGCAGGCATTGATCCCAGCTCAACCAGGGGTCTACGCAAACTCAGCGAGGCAGATGCTGGGAACTAGAAACTCGGTTCTATCCCAGTCCTCATGGGCTTTCCTAGACCAGATGAAAACGAGAGTAGTAATCAGAAGGTAGTGTTAGTGAGAGGTGCTGCGGCCTTCCTGACAAGGGGGGTCCCTCCGAATGCTGCACCTCTGCCAAAGGCATCCTGGGAAGCACAGCTTCCCTGGATCTGTGGGCCAGGGCCTGACTGTCCAGCAGGGTCTGTTCTGTGACCTGAGGCCTCAAGGCACACCATAGGGTCACAAGGGAGGGATGCAGCCTGTCTGCATACCATGCCAGGGACAAGGCTCATTTCTGTTTGCATAAAAGCTGGGGAGTGGGTAAGTGTGATTGTTGTGGGGGTGGCAACGTTGCACCCCGTAAAGCACAAGAGAGCACTGAGAGCCGCTGACACCGCAGCCCTGCTGGGGGCCCAGCTTGACGACTCATCAGACAGCAGTGACCAAGCGTCTCCATGGGCACAGTGTATCCAGACCTTGGGCTATGGTTTACAAACATGCTCTACAAAGAGACTATCTTAAGTAAGAAAAACACGAGGAAACACAGGGGGTGAAGATGCTTAGCTGGGGATCCCGAGGGCGGCACATTTTGGGGAGACACAGGTCTGTGCTGTTGTCGCACTGGTCCCTGCTGAAAGAAAAGTCTGCCTCCAGAGACAGAAGATCCCATGCTTGGGGCTGACATAAAGGGAACACCTATTGCCACCTGGAGGACAAATTTCTTACAACTCTCAAGTGCCAGCCACATGCTGAGCTGCTCACTGAAGACGCTGCCCTCCACAGCCCTCACCACTGGCCAGTCCCTGACTGTCTGTGTCCTGCCCCCCCTGGAGCTCACTGGAAGGCAGAGCAGGTGCCGCGGCAGGCCCAAAGCTCAGATTGTTATGGGGTAAAGTAGCCTTTCTGTACCTGAATACTGCTTGTCACTGGGGAATGTGGAGGTGACAGTGACAAGCTCCTCCCTGGAATGACTCACGCTCATGGTGTGGCCTCAGCAGGGTTACCATGTTCCAGGAGCAGAGCAGACCAGTGGCCTATGGATCACGGTGACTGGCTCTTGGAGGTGAAGACCCAACATGGCAGGCACCTCTGGGCAGCAGTGGAAGGTCTGGGGTGGGGGCCCTTACGGTGCTGAGCACTGGCTGCTGGCTGTTTCCCACATCCCAGGGTGACTGGGGGCGAAGAGAAGGGAACGCTAGCCATAAAGGTGCTTATGTAAAGATGACCACAGCACTGAGAACCGGACAAGGTCACGTGGGTTCTTCTGGGGTACAGATGGCCACAGATGGCATCTACCAGCAGCTCCCCATGTGCATCCCATGGATCAACTGAGAAGAGAGTCCGTGTCCTCTCTTCTCAAGCCCCAGCTGGCCACCAAAAGACACAGGCAAGAGATGTCTCATGGCCTTATGCAGCTAGGTTAGAAGGGACACCCCACTGTGAGACAAGCTCCCTCCGTGTGAGGAAGACCAGACATTGTGAAGGCCACCCTGCTGTGGGGACGGTTACCCTACTCTCAGGAACGTCATTTCCATGTGACAAGGGTCTCCCTGCTGTGAGAAAGTCCACTCTGCTTGTGTATCTATCGGTCATGCTGCTGGGTGTGCAGCCACAAGGGGCCGCACTGATGTTCTGAGGGTACTGGGGACCCTGGCACACTGCACTGGCCTTTACCTGAAGTGAAGTAAGGCAGAACCTCCAAGAACCTGGAACATCACATTATAGGACCCGTGAAGGGAAAAAGATCCCTTTCAGTTCAAAAGCTGTTGTGTCTGCAGCAGGTTTGTGATCCCACTCTGTTTTCCACGCCACAATCAGACATGCATTTTACAGCCATTATAGGTCTAAGAGCAGCATTATTGGAACTTTGGCTTATGATCCCATGCTGTTTTCACATAACTCGAGAGACAAACACATTTAAAGTATTGTTAGCTGGAGCTTTGGATTCAAACGTACAAAGACATAATTCCGAGGCGTCAACAAGTGAGGGGAGCGGGACCTGGCACATGGGAGCAGGATGTTCAACTTGTACGCTAATGCGTGAGGCGAAACTGGTATAAACCAGTTCAGGATGTTCTGTGTAACTCCCATGGAAACTGCAGAGCGGAAGAGAAATATCGCACAAAAGGTAACAGGGAAAGAATCTACATTTGTACCATTAAAAAGGCGCGTGACAGGTTTACCAGCAGGAGTCTGAAGAGGAGAAGGGCGTGTATGTGAAGACTGCGTGGAAGCTGAGATGAAACCGCACAGAGGAGATTAAAGAGACAACAAGCACCAGTGGCCTGGGGACACTCCAGGCAGGACAGCACACAGGTAATCCAATCCCCAGAGGAGGAAGTGTGAAACAGTCTTCAAACGTGATGGAGCCCAAAACCCCACAAATACAAAAACCTCAGCAGACTGCAAGCGAAAGCAACAGGAAGAAAACGACACCACCCTAATCAAACTGTTCAAGATTCGTGATAAAGAGAAGAATCTTGAAGCAAACAGAATGAAGTTGTTACAGAGACACAGACGCGGATTCCTCCTGGGGAATGACGCAAGTGAAGAGACACAGGCACCCTTAGGGCACTAGCCTGTCAGCCTAGAGTTCTGAACTCCAGGGGAAATAAAGACATTATCAGGCAGCAGCCTGCCACGAGATTCCATCTCCTATGAGTCACACTATGAGAGGGTGAAGGAAACTGGAGAAAGAGAAGTCGAGCATGGGAGTCTGCAAGACTACGAATAAGCTCAGGGGCTACTTTCTACTTTAATTATCTTTTAAAACTATTTTATTAAGCTGGGTGGTGGTGGTGCACAACTTTAATCCTAGCACTTGAGAGGTAGAGGCAGGCAGATCTCCGTGAGTTCGAGACCAGCCTGGTCAACAGAGTGAGTTCCTGGATAGCCAGAGCTACACAGAGAAACCCCTGTCTTGAAACCCCCCCCCCCAAAAAAAATCAAAAACAAAAAACAAACAAAACCATAACTATTTTATTATTATTATTAGTGTGTGTGTGTGTGCGTGTGTGTGTGTGTGCATACATGCACACGCACATGCACCACAGTACACATATGGAGGTTCATCAGGCTTGCTGGGCAAGGGTTTTTAACCTGCTGAGCCGTCTCACTGGCCCTTAATTAAATATCTTGATGTGAACATCAAACACAGTTACAATGTATAAAAGCCAAGAGAATAACAACAGCAGCAGGCACTGGGGTGCTGGTGTCAGAATACTGTAAAGTTCCTTCAGATTCAAATTAATTTCACTGGAATGTGAACTGAGGTGGTCACTCATCCATTATGTCTCATACATGCATGCATGTGAGTGTGTGTGTGTATACATATGCCTGTGCGCAGAGCATATGTGTGTAAGGGTGTGTGCACACACACACACAGTATAAATCCTGAAATGACCACAGAAATAAAATAACAAATATTGACACAAAGTTAGAGCTAGCAAGCCAAACAATGA